CGACACATCAAATTAAATCAAAATTTGATATCAAGATCAATGGTGGCAAAAATTATTATTATTTATTTTTTTTTTTTTTTGTATTATAGTCACTTTAACACTCTTGGGTCATTCAGACTTGTCCGGGGGTGAGATTTGAACTCGTGACTTTGGCGTGAGAGGTATGGATGTTGACCACTATGCCGGGGTCGCCCCCATGGCAAAAATTAAGTACCTTGGACCATATTGGCCACTTCCGGGCAAGTTCCTGGTGCCTCCGGAAAAGTGACCAGAACCAGACTTGAATAATAACCTATCATGCAACACATCAGATTATATCAAAATTCGATAACCAGATCAATGGTGGAACAAATTAAGTACCTTGGACAAGTTCCAGGTGCCCCGAGAAAGTGACCAGAAACGGACTTGGATAATAACCTATCATGAGGCACATTAAAATACATCAAAATTCGATAAGAAGATCAATAGAATTGAACCCATGGCCCATCCACTTGACAAGTGAACGTGTAGCCAACCACACCATGGGACCCCTCAACTTGAGAAAAATCGTAGCGACTCTCACGAGTGTGTAGAGACAAAGTTGAGCTTGGCTAAAAATCACGGCTACCGTGAAGGCACCATATTTGAAGCGGTTCCTAACTTAACGCACTCGATCAATTTCGACCATTTTCCATTAATATTTTTGAAATGTTAACATTGCAAATATTAGTTCCGGTGCTCTAGGGATGATAGTGTAACAATTCAACTGATGGTTGCTGATAAAGCGGCTGCAGGCGAAAATGAAGACGAGAATGCGGACTTCGATGTCATGTCTGACGCTGACATAGTCTGTTCTTAACCATGATTCACATTTTTATGAAGGAGAAAGCGTGACGAACACCACTCTGGATGAAACTGCAAACATTTCTACAGCAGATGACAACCAAGATGAGGAGTACGAACCAGTTCCAGATCAATCAGCGCTGAACAGTATTGACATGTTAAGCTCGAGATTCTGAACAGGTAGAAAATTACTGTATTCGAAAAAGTTGTTCATGAGGTCAATGTCTATTGCTTGGTGCACAATAGTTCAGAATTTTCACACTACGTGGCACTTGTATACACGCGAAATTCTCGCATGTAAAATATCTCGAGATTCTGATCAGATAGATTTCTCTAGTGGACAGTAGTTCAAAATTTTCTCACTACGTAGCGCTAGAATACACGTGAAATTCTCGCATGTGATTTGTTTCGAGATCCTGACCAGATAGAAAGTTACTGTCTTCGACAAAGTTGTTCAGGAGGTCAAAGCATTTTTGGCTGGTAAACAGTAGTTAAGAATTTTCTCACCACGTGGCATAGATGCACACTTCTCGCATATGCTATATCTCGAGATCCTAATCAGATAGAAAGTTACTGTCTACAACAAAGTTATTCAGGAGGTCAAAGTCTTTTGGCTCGTAAACAATAGTTTAGAATTTTCTCATAAACTTAAACTCTTTAAACTCCTCAACAACTTTGTTCAAGACAGTAACTTTCTATCTGGTCAAGAACGTGAGATATTTTATATGCGAGAATTTCACACGTATACTAGCATCATGAAGTGAGAAAATTCTGAACTACTGTCCACCAGCCAAAAGACCTTGACCTCCTGAACAACTATCTATCTGATCAGAGTCTCGAGATATAGCATATGCGAGAAGTGTACATGTATAATAACGCCACGTAGTGAGAAAATTATTAACTAATGTTTATCAGCCAAAAAGTCTTGACCCCCTAAATAACTTTGCCGAAGACAGCAACTTTCTAGCTGATCAAGATCTCGATCTATTGAATATGGGAGAAAGGCACGTATATACTAGCACCGTATAGTGAGAAAATTCTAAACTATTGTCACCCAACAAAAAGATCTTGACTTCCTGAAAAACTTTGCCGAATACATTTACTTTCTATCTGGTCAGGATCTAGAGATATTTTATATGCAAGAGTTTCACATCTATAGTAGCGCCACAAAGTGAGAAAACTCTGAACTACTGTCTACCTGCGAAAAAGCCTTGACATCCTGAACAACTATGCCGAAGACAGTACCTTTCTATCTGGTTGGGAACTCGAGATATTTTATATGAGAATTTCACGTGTATACTAGCGTCGCGTAGTGAGTAAATTCTGAACTATTGAGCACCAAACAATAGGCTTTGATCTCCTGAAAAACTTTGTGAAAGACAGTAACTTTTTATCTGGTCAGGATCTCGAGATATATCACATACGAGAATTTCACATGTATACTAGCGCTACGTAGTGAGAAAATTCTGAACTACTGTCCGCCAGCAACAAGGCTATGATCTCCTAAACAACTTTGTCAGAGACAATATCTTTCAATCTTGTCAGAATCTTGTTATATTCCATGTTGTAATCAATTAAGTCAAATCCCACGTAGTATGGTCACAGTTTTCCCGGTTTCCATTTACATATTCCCTATTATCCGCATTTTCTAGGTGTTTCCTGTAATCAAAGTTTAGCTTGTTTAAATCGAAACAAGTTTTTTGAGGAATACTCGTTGGTTTCAGATCGATTGGTAACTCAGCAACAAAATGGCAATGGAAAACTCATGTGTGTTATACAAAGTAAAACAGCGCGAGTAACGGAGGGTTAAAGGCCCTTTGGTACATTTTTTTTACGGATCTTCAAAAATTTTGTTCGGTTGCCATTCCCCCCCCCTGAAACATGACATGATTAGTGTATGGAACATCATGGGATTCAGTTTTTGTATGTTGTTGCGGCACAGGATATGTTTGATTCCTTTCAGGTCAAAGGTAATCCAAAACCCCTTAAAGCCGGATTTTGTAACAAAGGCACACCAACACTTAAATATAGTCATTTCCCGATCTTGTCAGACTGAGTCGAACGATGTATGTTACTCGTCCTCGGATCGAAAGTCGGTTTTTCCAATCGGTTTATGAAAAATAATTTGCAAGATAGGTAAAAAAAAATATGACTCCGGATAATCGAGCCATTTTCTCCGGATAATCGAGCCCCGGATAATCGAGTCCGGCCTGTAATTTTTATCACGTTCCAGAAGTTCTATCGGAGCTTTGTTGAAGTTTCCGGAACTTCTTTAAGGTTTCTACAATTTTCTTTAAATTATTTGAACAGCCCTTGATTCTGTGATCTGTCTTGATGTTCTCGAAGCTTCCCAAAAGCTCTCAATTCTAGAGAAGATAAATTTCCCTGAAATTCTTTGGACTTCTGTGAAGTTCCTGAAATATTTATGAAGTTTTCATAATTATCTGATGGTCTCTGTACTGCCCTGAAATTCTCGGAACATTTTAAGGGTTCTAAATTTTCCTAAATTTAGTCTGAACTAAAGTCATGGGAACTGCTCTTAAGATCTGAAATTCCCTAAAGATCTCTGGATCTAGCTTTTCTGAGGTGCTTAGATTTTTTATTTAAATTTGCACGCTACCTCTCAAGGTTTCTATATTTCTCAAGTTTGCTTAACACCTGTGATGTGCTCTGAAATTCTAGGAACATCACAAAAGTTTCTGAAAATTTAAGAATGTTAAAAGAACCGATTTGAGGATCTTAAAGCTTCCAGTAAGTTCCCCATAATTTCAATGTGTTAACTTCCCTTACGTTCCCGCAGTTTGTTTATGGAGCTTTACTGAAATTCTCAGAACTTCCTTTCATTCCTCAGAACTTCTTCAAAGTTCCTACAATTGTTGTGAAGTTAATGGGACTGCAATGAAGATCTCTAATATTTCATAAAGTTAATTACGAACTTGAAATAAATCATTTAATGTTTTCTTTACTTCAGGCATTTTGAAAATTTTCACTATCATGAACTTGTACATGGAATAAGAAACTACAAGACATTGAATGTTTTAGATTTTGGACTTACTCAAATTAAGTACGTTTTTTTCAAACTATGATCAGTGAAAAATTAAGTTCAACATTCATTGGATTTTAATACAAACTTGTTTCTTTAAAACTGATTGCCATGTATTAAAAACGCTTGGGTTAATTACTGTTGATCTTCCAGAAAAAGCATATTATGAACGCATTTAAAAAAAAGCTTTCTTATTATAAGCCTTGAATTTATCCGTTAAAGTTCTGGGAAAACCTGGAAGACTCAGGAGATTTTATTAAGAAAAATGAGTAGACAGCCTGTAGATAGAGAAAGACGATTGAACGTCACAAAGCAAACAATAAACAATAATTGAAATAAATTCACGCTAACATAGTTGAAAATAGTGACTGATTACAAGAAAAAGTGACTTTAGTGACTTGACCTTAAAAAAAGGGACTGTTTAGTGCCTGGCTTGAAAAAAGTGACCAAGTCACTAAAAAGTGACTCACTACCAGCCCTGAATAAGACTACTGAAAAAGTACATGTGTTTCGTAGAACATTAGAAAAGATGTTAAAAAGGGGGCTGGCAAAATCGATTCATTACTGTATTTTTAAATCCTAGAATCTTGAAGATTGTTCTTGTTCAGTTCCAGAATCTTGGGTGTTTCAGTCCTAGAATATCTATGATTTAGCTTGGTCTTAAATGATTTAATCTCGTAAAAGTATCGAGGTCCGAGTTCTGAAGATTTTCTCTAATTGCAATTATGTTTAGCAGTTCACACCTTCTAAGAAAAGAATTTGGTTAGAATATCTTAACTATACAGAGTCATTTCTGACCCCCTCTCAACACCATAAAAACGGCACTGGCGAGCATAAATTATCCGGATAGAAATCAATTTGGTGGCTTCATAGAACTCCTTCTCCTTCCATCGTCCGCTTGTTATTAATGAACCTATACAAGCAAAGTTGTGCATTTGGCATTCGATCAAAAGCGATGCATTTTAGTCTGGCTATAGTTTGACTATCATCGTCCCGAATATCGAGCAGAGCATCTCTAATTCGCTGATGTTCATCAGCGTTCTTTGTTCTTCTCGGGAAAATAATTAAAATTCATCATCACGCTAACTCATTAGTCAAAATGCAATCTCTCATTCGTCTTTCTTCTCCCAAACAGATGGAAACACTCAGCGCTCGTGACCTCAACAACACCCGCCGCGCCGAGATCCCCATCATCTTCTTCAACCGCGTCCCCAAGGTAGGCAGTCAAACGTTCATGGAACTGCTCCGGCGCTTGGCCATACGCAACGAGTACACCTTCCATCGGGACGTGGTACAACGCCTAGAGGTCATCCGTCTCTCTCCGGATCGGCAACAGGAACTCGCCGAAATGGTTACCGACCTGCCGATGCCATCCGTCTACGTGAAGCACGTTTGCTACACCAACTTTACTCGCTTCGGTCTACCGATGCCGATCTACGTCAACATGGTCAGGGATCCGGTCGAACGCATCATCAGCTGGTACTACTACGTCCGAGCTCCGTGGTACTTTGTCGAACGGAAGCAGGCCTTCCCCGATCTACCACTTCCGGATCCACGCTGGCTGAAGAAAGACTTTGAAACATGTGTTCTGCAGGGCGACCCGGAATGCACCTACGCTCAGGGAGCGATACACGAAGGCATCGGAGACCACCGTCGGCAAACGCTGTTCTTCTGCGGACACGATGAACAGTGCCTGTAAGTTGTCTACATTTTGTCATTCACATAAAGATCTATAACCACATTTACCAATCCACTTATAGCCCCTTCAACAGCCAGGGAGCGCTGGAGCGTGCCAAGTATGCAGTCGAAAGCCAGTACGCCGTCGTAGGAGTGCTAGAGGATTTCAACACAACCCTGGCCGTGCTGGAACGGTACGTACCGAAGTTTTTCTCCGGCGCCACCTCGGTTTACTTCAACGAGGTCAACTTACTGGCGAAGATCAACAAGAACAACTTCAAGCCACCGGTTAGTCACGAAATCAAGGAACTGGTTCGGCGAAACTTCACCCGTGAAATCGAGTTCTACCAGTTCTGCAAGCAGCGGCTGTACAAGCAGTACCTCGCTACGCAACTACCGCACAAGTGATTTGCTCCGGCACCAAATTATTTTATTTTATTTTATTTTAATTTAAACACGGGGGAAACTCTGCATCCTAGATGGGTGGGTGGAAGGAGGAGATTACCCCCCGTGAAGAAAGTTCCACCATTTCCGTTGCAACCCATGTCTTCATTTCATCATTACCCAAACTAGCGCAGCATAGCGAGAAAGCATCGCGTACCAGATTCCTTATTATTTATGATTTGAAGTAAAACATTTAAGCACACACTCACATCCACGAAACGATTCATTTGTATTTAAGTAAGTTAAATCGACAAAACCATGCTTATTGTTAGGTTCAAGTTTTTAAATTGATGTTGTAGCGAACAATAACCCGACCCGAGAGCGGAAAAGAAGTTAAACTTGGAATGTGATAAGTGATCAAACTGTTGAAAGTGTACATTTTATGAAGAAGAAAAAATCCTCATTTTGGACAACTAATCCGAAATTGATTGCGAGGAAACCAAGAGAGCAGTGAGATTGAGAGAAAAGACGCCTTTTGGAAACTACACAATAGTTTTAGTTGGAAATTTTAAGTGAAGCAGTTAGAAGTAGTAGACGAACTAGTTTGTAGATCAATTGTAGAAAGTATTAATACAACTTAACTTATGAATGTTTCTTAAGTACCGTGACGTGGCGGTGGTTGCAGGTGTTTTAATTGAAAGAACTTCCATCGTTTTAACGAGCATTGGAACAGGAACAGGGTTGCAGCAAATCTTGATTATGTTGAAAGTAACGTGTTTTACCTTAACCTTAAGTTTTTAGAGATGAACTAACCGCCGGCTATAAATCTCTCTAATAAAGATTTAAAAAAAAACTTAACCTTGAGTAACTGACTTAAAATATTTCCAAATGTAAGAAATCGATTGTTGAAATCTCGGTGAACACCGAGCAAACAGCCTACATTTAGGGGCAAGAAATATGTTGCCACCTACTGGCATTTTAAATGAAAACATGCCTGGCATCAGTGATGGATCGCTCTTTTGGGGTGTTTTCATTACTAGGAATACGTCTGTGATTTCTATATGGGGGTACACTTTGTGAAAACCGATAATGGAACATGTAACAAAATTTTGAAAGATTTTGAACGTTTTTTTCCTCTGTTCGGGACCTAACACTACTGCGACCAGTCAATTGAGCTATTGTAGTATATCCCGTGTCCTTAGTTTAGTGCATGTCGTATTACTCCATCACTATTGATAAAGGATGAAGTATTCGATTTATTTTTACAGTTGCCACTCTTGCATTTATCGCAAGGATCCGACTCTAATTTATACCCTTCGGAGTGTTGAAACCCCCTCCAAAGGTGTGCCCCTTTGTCAGTCAAAATTGGATTTCTTAGCAACAAAATTAAGGTATGACACCCTAGCCTTAACCACTTCAAACTAGGGAACAACGAATATAAGATTAGGAATCACATATATGAAGACAACTAACTCATTTTTTTGTTCCTTGTTTCAAGATCATCCTCGGTAGACAAAGCCGAGTCTTGTCACTATCTGTTATGATTACAAATAAAACACACGCGTACAGGAGAACATAACTTTAATCAATCCCTCTCTTCTCCATCCAGTGTTGCCAGTCCCATGAGTTGTTATTAAATCACAACATATCTCTCTTTCTTTAATCAAGTTGAAAACATATTTAGTGCAAGATAATCTATTTTTCCACACTATTACTTAAGGCAATAGTCGTCAAAATGTTTCGGGTGATTTATCTCCCTACGAGGTCTTACCAGTGTTTCCACTTCCTTTTCAGGTATGATATTCAACGAGTTACTTCCAGGACCAGCAGCTGCGTCTGTAACGTACTCGTCCGATGAAGCCTGCTTCTCCTGAACCGATGTACGACGAACGAATGGTCTCACATGGGATGTATTACGTTTGTAGATTTGTCTATTCTCCGCCTCCAGTGTTAAGCTATTTCCACGACGTTCAATGACTCTGGCAGTTGTTGGTAGAAAACTTGACGATAGCTTATTTTCTCGTGTCATGTTTTTCATTAAAACTTCATCACCAACATCAATCGACGATTCCTTAGCTCCCGTTCTCTTATCCCTTTCCTTAGCATGGTGATTCGCAACTCGGTCCCGGTCGCGCAGCTCATCATCGTCACATATCTCCATCTGTGTGGAATCAAATCCCTGAATCTGCGTCCAAACATCAATTGCGCCGGTGAAACTCCTGTTACTGAATGCGGAGTAACTGAATACATGTACAAATATTTCTGCAACGCCTCTTTCCAGTTTGTTCCCTGTTGTTTGCTTATCTTCAACGCCTTGAGCACCGACCGATTTTGTCGCTCGACTTCTCCGTTCGCACTTGGATAAAGGGTGATACGGTCAAAATTTGGTCAATATCAACTTGACGTATTTCTTTCAATTTTGCATTTAAAAAACCTGAACACCTCTCATTTTGAAGGTGTGTGTGTGTAGAATGTTGCTCCTATTTTGATTTTGGAATTCACTCTTCAGTTGTCAAAATGCCGTCCAAGCAAGAAGAGCAGCGTATCAAAATTTTGCTCGCGCATCGCGAAAATCCGAGCTACTCGCACGCAAAGTTGGCAAAATCGCTAAAAGTTGCCAAATCAACCGTTACAAATGTAATTAAAGTGTTTGGGGAACGTTTGTCGACAGCCAGGAAGTCTGGATCGGGGGGAAATCGAAAACCGGAAGCCGCTGAGACGACAAAGAGAGTTGCCGGTAGTTTCAAGCGAAACCCTAACCTCTCTCTCCGAGATGCCGCAAATAAGCTGGGTGTATCGTCTACAACCGTGCATAGAGCCAAAAAACGAGCCGGACTATCGACTTACAAGAAGGTAGTGACTCCAAATCGCGATGATAAACAAAATACGACGGCCAAAGCGCGATCCCGGAGGCTGTACACGACGATGCTGACGAAGTTTAACTGCGTGGTAATGGACGACGAAACCTACGTCAAAGCCGACTACAAGCAGCTTCCGGGACAGGAGTTTTATACGGCAAAAGGAAGGGGAAAGGTAGCAGATGTTTTCAAGCACATGAAACTGTCAAAGTTCGCAAAGAAATATCTGGTTTGGCAAGCCATCTGTACCTGTGGCTTGAAAAGCAGCATTTTCATAGCTTCCGGGACTGTCAACCAAGAAATTTACGTGAAAGAGTGTTTGAATAAACGTCTGCTGCCTTTCCTGAAGAAACACGGTTGTTCCGTACTGTTTTGGCCGGATTTGGCATCTTGTCATTACGGTAAAAAGGCCATGGAGTGGTACGCCGCCAACAACGTGCAGGTGGTTCCCAAGGACAAGAACCCTCCCAACACGCCAGAGCTCCGCCCAATTGAGAAATACTGGGCTATTGTCATGCGGAACCTAAAGAAGACCAAAAAACTGCTAAGGGCGAGCAGCAGTTCAAGGCAAACTGGCTTTCTGCGGCGAAGAAGGTGGACAAGGTGGCTGTACAAAATCTGATGGCAGGGGTCAAGCGTAAGGCCCGGCAATTCGGATTTGGAAAAGCGGAAGCCTAACTGAATATTTTTCCTGAATTTATACTAATTGAACTTGAAAAAGAAATTTAATTTGATTTTTTAAATAAACGATTTCACCGATTTACACGCGTTTTCCCTTGACCAAATTTTGACCGTATCACCCTTTAGTACGGCGTAGTATGTGTGCAATGACGTTTATATAAGGTCTGGGCCAAAGGGCTTATTGGTGTTAGTGAAATGTGCAAATGTTTAGTGGTGTTCGTATTTTATTGCAGTGTTTATCTTTTTACACGAAACAGCTGTTGGCAGTGACGTATTTCTATCTGTTCTCAGTATGTTGGCAGTGACGTATTTCTATCTGTTCGGAGATGTTCAGCAATGTTTACAACATTTTTGCTTCTAACACCAGCAAGCTGCCTGTTGGCCCAGACCTTATATAAATGTCATTGGTATGTGTGAGCTTGATTCCCTTATCCACGCAATAATCCTTCAGTTCTTGGCTGGAAAAGTTCTTCGCGTTGTCGAAAGTCAATACATGCGGCAAACCCATTCTGGTAAAACTTTCGTTCAGGAAGTGAATTACGTCGCTTGACGTGGTGTGCTTCATGGGTTCCGCCAAAACATAGCGACTATAGAGATCAATAAGCACGAACAAGTACATACCGTCCGGTAGCGGGCCAAGGAAATCACCAGACAAATGAACCCACGGAGCACTCGGTAAGTCCCTGATACGTAGGGGCTCTGGTTTCTCGTAGGGAGCTACCAACTGACAGCTGTAACATTCCTTACAGGTTTTATCCACCGCTGCATCAATACCCGGCCACCAAACAGCAACTCTCAGTCTTATTTTCATCTTTTCACGACCAGGATGACCAACGTGCGCCAGGGTCAATACGATTTCTCGTAGCTCCTGTGGAACCACATTCCTACTCTTACGCAGTAGAATTTCATTCGCAAAACATAACTCGTTTTTTAACGGTCCATATTTCTTGACGCCATTTTCCCATTTTCCATCAAACAAAGCTGATCTGCTTGTGAATTCTTGTCGAATGTTTTTCCGCTCAGTACTTCAGAAAGTCGTGATAGGGGATCAGCTATATTTATCTTGCCCGGAACATGCTTAATCTTGTAGCGGTAGGCCTGCATCCTTAATATCCATCTCTCCTGCCGCTGATTCGGTACCGAAGTTTGACTGAAAATATTAATCAATGGCTTGTGATCAGTCAATACAGTGAAATTCAAGCCCGTCAGATACATCCGAAATCTGTCTGTTGCCCAAGCGATCGCGAGAGCTTCTTTGTCCAGCGTCGAGTACTTTATCTCCGTCTTGGTCAAACTTTTGCTAGCATAGCTTATAACTCTTGGCTTGCCGTGGATATTTTGCAACAAAACGGCTCCAACTCCGTTATCGCTCGCGTCCGTGACCAAAGTAGTCGGATTCATGGGACTATAGTATCCAAGGTGCTCAGGGTTGATTAGAGCAGCTTTGATCTTGTCGAATGATCGTTTCCCCTCCTTCGTCCAGGTAAACTGTTCTCCTTTCACTGTCATCTGACGTAGGGGGGCGGATATGCTAGAGAGATTGGGTATAAACTTACCGACATAATTCACCAGCCCGAGAAAGCTTCGCATTTCGGTAGCATTCTGTGGTCTTCGGAAAGCTTGGATGGCACTTACTTTGTCGTTCATGGGTAAAATCCCGTTTCGTGACAGGATGTGGCCCATAAAATTAACTGTCGTCTTCCCAATCTCGCTTTTATTCATGTTCACCGTCAGTCCATGTTTTTCCAATCGATGTAGCACTGCTTGCACTCGTTGATCGTGATTCTCCTTGGTTTCTGAATACACGAGGATGTCATCGATGAACACCTTTATTCCTTTGAGCCCCTTTAGTATCCGTTCAATCTCTGGCTGAAAAATTTCGGCAGCGCAGTTCATGCCAAACATTAGCGGTTGGAGTAACTAATTTTGTTATCTCTCTCGAGGATGGTGCCAGCTCAATCTGGTGGAACGCTTTGACCAGATCTATTTTGCTGAAAAAGTTACATCCATCTAGGTGCGGCATGATTTCATCGAAGGTTGGCAACGGATGACGTTCTGGAATTCTCGCCTCATTGGCACGACGCATGTCTACACAGAGACGAACACTTCTACCTCCATCTTTGGGAGTCACAACAAGAGGAGAAGCCCATGTAATATTGAGTGGTGCCGGCTCGATGATGTCTTGCTCAAGTAGATCTTGTAGCTTACTCTCGACGAGGTCTTGCAAAGGTATCGGTAGGCGCCGACATGGTTGTTGAACAGGAACTACGCTTTCGTCAATTTTAACGTCTACCTGCAAGTCTTTCACTTTTCCGACGCGTGGTTCTTCTTTATTCGACACACTGAATACTTCGCCTTCAATCTTCAATATCTCCAGATCCATCGACGTCAGTTTTGAAGATTTTGTGCACTTTAAGCTTGCCATTTCCATAAACTCGAAGAAACTTCCGACCCTCGCAGCTGTAGCTCACTTTGCAACCTTGACTCTTCAAGTTCCGCCATGTCTCGAGACTGATGACATTCACATGTGCTCCGGAATCAACAATCCAATTTAACTTCACTCCACCAACGTAACAGGTCACCATATCGTGCTCTGCGCCTGTAGCATTAATTTGCTGCACGTCGCTGTCACTGTCACTTTGCTCTGCTTTGTTTTCGCTGGCACCGTCGTCAGAATCACGCACTTGAAACGCGCGGTTCTTCTTTTCTTGCTTGTTTTTCGCTGCACCGTGCTTGTCCTCCAATTTTGTTCTACACATTTTACGGAAATGTCCGATGATTTTACATTTGTCACAAACCTTGTTCTTAGCCGGACACCCTTTGTCATTGGCGAAGTGACCCGCATTGCCACACCGGAAGCATACTTCCTTCTTTTTCTCACGCTTCACTTGAAAAACACTCGCCTCGTCCAATGAGGCGGACATTTCCCTCATTTCCTCCTTATTTCTCTTGACGGTTTCCAAAATTCGCGCATTGCCCACAATTGCCGCTACCGTTAGGAGTTTCTTCTTCAAAATAGCATCGCGTAGCTCGTCTGAGCGGCAATTATCAAACACCTGCTCCGTAATTCGCATATCAAGTGCACCTTCGTACTCGCAGAGACGACCCTGTTCCCTCAATCGAACGACAAACTTTTCCACAGACTCACCTTCTTCTTGTTTCATGCATCGAAACACGTAACTGGTGCTGGAGCATCATGGCCTTCAATCTCGAAGAAGATGTCTTGAACCTCAGTCCCTGCAAAATGCAGCAAGTAGGACTTCTTCCGCGATGGAAGAGCAATACAGTTTACCTCCAGGAACAATTCCAATGACCGTTTCCATTTTCTCCAGCGGGTACCAACCGAAGAAGTATCGGCAGTGTCGAACGGCGGCAACGATGGTTTGGGTTCCATGTTCATAATTTTCTTATTCGCAACTTCGGCGTAATCACTTTTCAGCTTACAATTTCTACTCTGCTACGCACATTCAGCAGCAGCTTTACAGCTTTCTCCTCGCAGAAATGAGAGGTTATGTTCACTCTTCGACTGGTCTTCACGTCTGTTTTCTGGTGATTTTTCTGACGTAAATCAACCTCCCGGAACTGTAACAACACAGATCCCGAATTCAATCACACGATCCGGAACCGTTCTCCACGAATCTAATCTAAAATTTATGCCACGTCGCCAAAATGTTATGATTAAAAATAAAACACACGCGTACAGGAGAACATAACTTTAATCAATCCCTCTCTTATCCATCCAGTGTTTCCAGTCCCATGATTTGTTATTAAATCACAACACTATCAACAAGGCATAAAAAGTAACAAGGACTAAGATGTGTTCCTTGGATTACTGAAAAATCCTGTTCCCCTAGTTTGAAGTAGTCAGGACTAGGAATCGGTGGTAGGTCTTACATCCAGTAACGTACCACGAAAAGGTGATCTACTCACGTTACGGGACATTTTGAACGTTAATAACTCAGCTGTCCCTGGACCAATTTCAATAATTTTATCACCAATCGATCAGAAATATTTCTACGCATCTGTAAGACTTAGACCAAAGATGAATACTAAGATGAAACTGTCGGAAGAAAACTTTTTATTTTAGTGTCCTCTTTCACGGTCCCTTTCATCCAATGAATACCCCCCGTATTCAAGGTAATTTTGTGGTTTTGCTGCCCCCTCAGTAGAGATGAAATTTTGCGCTCATTTTTATCAAAACAATCACACCAAAATCAGAGATGTCCCATTTTTTAATTACTCGATTAACAACTAATCGATTTTTTTTTGTTCGCTGTGCTGCCATTTTTCCACCAATGAGAGTGCAGCACATGTATGAAACGATCGGTGATGACCCTCTGGAGATGTTAATGCTTATATCGGCATGATATAACCGATTACAAATATTTTACTTTTCGGTTCGTTAATCGATTAATCGATTATTCGAATGAAAGTCGGCCATCCCTAGATGAATGTGAAACGTCATTTCAAATATAAGGACCGTCATAAATAATGATACAATTTGAAAGGGACCGGGGCTAATCACAAATTACGTCCCCACGGTAACTGAAACAAACACGAGTGTTCACCGGTTGCTTAGACTATTGAAAATTGCATGAATGTGCAACTGTTGCTATGATAGTTCAAATTATCACCGTTTTCTGCCAAAAGCGATTCCCCTAACACAGATTTCAAAGTTGAACTCCATCCGGTCTCACCAAACGGTGTTTATTCAATCACCGCGTGGTGAGCGCGGTGTTCTCCAGTACACAACGAAAGGCTGTCTGCGAGCAGCGAGATGCAGCCCACATGAGCATCCATAGAAGGTGGAAGAAGCCGCACAGCTATTGATCGGAATCAGTAGCTCTTCGTGAGTCGCTATGAGCCATCTATGTCAAGCGCATCATACTAAAGAGTTTAAACAGAGATAACCCCGCTCAAATTCCTATTGCTACACAAAACACAAGCTCTTGCTGCAGTTAACAAATAAGATTTATTATATAACACGTATTTCCTACGTCCCCATTGCGAACAAACCCATAGGGCTGTCCCTTGTAGTTTATATTATAGAATGCTAACGATAAATTCAGTTGAATTCTCAGTTTGTTTATTTGTTATGTTTGCATCAACAGACTAGAAATAGTCCCATAGTGTGTTGTAAAAAAAGGTACAGATTATACAGACTACATATACTACAGTTACAAGGAATTACATTGTCAAGTTACTAAAAATGTATAAGTCTAAAATTTACACTTAGCTGTTGGGCGTCACGCGCCTTCGGTCAGCAAAAAAGGCAGAGAATCTTCGGCGAAGCATATTCCGTGTCAAGTGGAAATCGAACATCGAAGCTACTCGGTTGAACACTCGCTGCAAGCCGTAAATAATGCTCCCTAAGCTATAATTAGTTCGAAGAAGTGGAAGTCTTAGCATAAGACGGTTGCGTAGTGATCACTTGTTGCAGAATTGCTTCGCAGTTGATTCTTCTTTGCAGAGTATCGGCGACGGTTAAGGCTCTGAAAACATCTCTTCGGATACGTAAGGGCTCGACATTGATCAATTGGCAGCGATTCTCGTAGCTTGGAAGACGAAGTGGGTATCTCCAAGGCAGCTTGTTTGCACAGATTCAATCCGTTCGGCCCCATTATTGCAGTTCGGGCTCCAGACTGCAGAGCAGTATTCCATCGTAGATCGTACTATAGAGCAATAGAGCGATTTCAAGCAGTAAATGTCTGTGAAGTTCTTAATAATCTTGAAGACAAAGCCAAGAGTTCTGGACGCTTTGTCAACGACATACGATATATGGTGTGAGTGTATGTTAGCTTTGACGCCTAAATCTTTCACGCAATGCACCCGTTCCATAGTCGTGCCTAGTAGTTTGTAGTTGAAAATAATCAGTTGTTTCTTGCGTGAGAAAGTAATAACTGTACACTTAGCTGGGTTGACCACCAGTCGGTTTAGACTACACCAGCCAGCAAAGATGTCAATCTGATTTTGGAGAGAACGGCAGTCGGCGAGTGAGCGGATGCGCAGAAAAACTTTCAAATCGTCTGCAAACGATAATCGTGGTCTTGTGATAACATGGTGAACGTCGTCGAAGTAAAGGAGAAATACCAATGGTCCCAGATGGCTACCCTGAGGTATACCGGACTTTGCGCAGAAACTTACTGAGCGACAAGTACCCAAAGTTACTGTCAGTTGGCGCTCCGTAAGGTATGAACGAAACCAACTCAAAAGATTTCCACGGATCCCTAGCCTATCAAGCTTAGTGATCGCAACTTCGTGGTTCAGCTTATCGAAGGCTGCCGTAAGATCTGTGTTTGGGTCCGAGCAATCAAACTGTCTGTGATGTAAGGCGTTAGGCACAGCAGGTTCGTAGTTGTGGAACGCCGTGTTGATCTATACTTAGATATTGCTTGCAATGCGCATTTAGGGACTCTATGACAACCAATTCAAAAAAAAATTATACAGCTCTCAGCGACGTGATTCTCCGGTAGTTGTTAACGTCGCGTTTGCTTCCCTTTTTATGAACAGGAAACATATCCGCAGTCTTCCAGCAAGACGGAAGATGCCGCTGGAAAGAGACAGCTGGAATATGCGGCGCAGTGGATCTGACTAGTGATGTTCTTTTTATGAATAATCGACGGAACACCATTGGGTCCAGCCTTAGCTGAAGACTTAAATTTAGATGCTGTTCTAGAAATCGTATCTGTAGTGGCGTCGACAACGCTGAGCGTTTGGTTGACCAAAGGAACATTACTGGCCGCGGAAGTGATGAGATTAGCGTCTTCAAACACACTAGCAAATTTGGCTGAGAACAGGTTGCAAATGTCTTGTTGATTGCCAGTAGTTTCACCATTAAAAATCCCGACTTCCCTGCGTTGCTCATTTACGAAGTTCCAGAAGGATTTCGGGTGTGATTTTAGCCATCGTTGAATCCTCCTTTGATAGCGTTGAAATCAGAGACGACTTAACCGCTTGTACTCGTGGTTGAGTCTGACATAGCAGCATTTCAGCGGCAGTGTGCGTTATTTAGTAAATCTTCTGAGAGGCTTTTCCACGAGATCTTCCGTCATCCACGTAACGCGAGAGTCGATATGGATGATCTTTTTGGAAACGTGTCTGTCAATGACATATGCCAAGACGTGAGGAAAGGTTTGTGCAGCAATGTTGACGTCTACATGATATGCTCCCAATCTAGATTAGACAGCACATGGACAATACTGCGATCGTCAGCTCTACGGAAGTCATATGACACAGCGTTTGGAGTGCTGATGAAATCATGTACAATATTATTTTCGATCACGATAACTAAAACAGGGTCATGATGCACTTCCTTGACTAAAGGGTCGGGTGCCGTGGAGAGGAAAGGAGCTGTATCACGAGCACTCACAAAGCAGAGGTCCAGGATGCGGTTGTGGTGGCCTCATAGCCTAGTCAGTAAAGGCACGGTATTACCAAGCCGGAGGCGGCGGGTTCGATTCCCGGTCCGGTCGAGGGAATCTTTCGGGTTGGAAATTTTCTCGACTTCCCTGGGCATACAGTATCATTGTGCTTGCCACACAATATGCAAATTCATGCATTGGTAATTGGCATCGAAAGCTCTCAATTAATAACTGTGGAAGTGCATTTAGAACACTAAGTTGAGAGCACGCAATAAGCTAATATGCGCTAAGCAATAAGCTTGAAATGCGAATAAGAAGAAGAAGAAGGATGTGGTTGTTTTCATTCAACTGCCTTTGATTTGTGACAGAATTGCGGTACTATAACTGACCAGGAGCTGGATGGTTCCTACGTGGAAAGATGAACGCTCGTGATCAGAACAAAAGAAACCACTATGGGTTGGAGTCCATGCAATGTCCGGTAGGTTAAAATCGCCAAGAACAATAATTTCTTCGGAAGGGCCTGCTTGTATAATAGATAGTTCAATGCTATTAATCTCCCTATCAAAATGCGAGCGCTCTCAAGTGCACCTTCAGTGGAAACAGACAGGGAACCAATTGGACCTGGTGGTTGGCCAGTTGGGACGGGAAAACCCTGCGGAAATTCAGAGATCCGGGGTTTTTCTCTAAATTGCATACAATCATGAGCATAGAGGAAATATGCCATCACCATACCGATTCTTTTGCCGGGAAGCCAAAAATTGGTCCTCTGGATATCCGGAATCACCGGGAAAATTGTCAATTCCTGAAAGTAGACCTGGAGATCCGCGATTTTTTTTTTCGCAATTGCATACAATCATGAGCATAGAAGAGAAATGCCATCAACATATCGATTGGCTGAATGGCCACAAAACGGTTCTGTGGATATCCGGAGAAAATGTTCAATTTCTGAAAGTAGACCTGCGATTTTTTGTAAATTGCATACAGTCATGAGCATAGAGAGAATATGTCATTAACATATCGATTCTGCTACCGCGTGGCCACAAAACGAACCAATGGATATCCGGAATCATTGAAAACCGGAAAATGGTCGATTCATGAAAGTAGACCAAGAGATCCGCGATTTTTTTCAAAATTGCATGCCATTATAAGTATATAGAAAATATGTCATCACCAACCATATCGATTCCGTTGCCGAGTGGTCAGTTCATGAATGTAGACCTAGAGATTCACGATATGTTTTTTTTTTCTAAATTGCATACAATGATAAGCATAGAGGATTTTTTTTAAATATAGTCACTTTAACCCTCTTGGGTCATTCGTGACTTGTCCGGGGGTGAGATTTGAACTCGTGACTTTGGCGTGAGAGGTATGGATGTTAACCACTACGCCGGGGTCGCCCCCAAAAAGCAGCATAGAGGAAAAATAAGCCATCAATATATCAACATGCCAACTTTTAGGAATTGACCCTTTTGCGGTGATTGTAGATATCCAGAGGACCGTTTTCTGACCACCCAGTAGCAGAATCGATATGGTGATGGCATATTTCCCCTATGCTCATGATTGCTTGTAATTCTGGAAAAAAAAAATTAAGCATTTCTAGGTATATTTTTAGTGATTGACCATTTTCCCGGTGAATCCGAATTTCCGCAGAGCCATCCTGGCGGGTTTTCCAGTTCATAGCTTTCAAAAAGTGGCTCAATCTTAAAACCTGGTAACCAAATTGCCGAGAACCAATCATATCAACAAGAATCGACACGCATTTTGCTCGGAACTTTTCCTGGTTTTTTTTTCCATTCCGGCTGGACAACTTCTGGTTCAATCGGGCTTCTACCTGTTCTAAATAAAAACAAAAGATAGTCATACCTTTCGAATGGTGGCTGAATCATAACGATTGATCATCGCATTGCCGAGAGCCAGCCATGTCAACATGCGGCAGGCATTTAGGGTTTTGTCAGTTAATATCACTAAACTATTTATTTTAAGATGGGTTAACTGAAAATTCAATTCGATTTGTCGTAAAAATTCTATATTAAAAAGTATTGAAAAAGTCCAAAAAGAGCGATCGATCTGGCATAAGCATTTCTACGCTAAATTCGGATCCATAGAAGCTAAACTCATGTTGAATGCATTTTGAAACTGTCATTAGTTGACTGGATGTTTGGTAAAACTCTAGAAACAGCTTCTCATATGATTCAGTTCTTCCATTCATTCTAATTTTTGCGAATATATTTTAACAATGATTTCGGAGTCCAATATAATCCTACACAATACTTCAAGCATTACAAAATCATTTATTCAATAAACAACACAATACGACTACGATCTACCTGTTTCGGAACCGACAAGGGAACAAAAGATTAGAAAACCTTTGGAGTCGGTTTTTTTGTAATCGTTCACTCATCAGTAGAGCACGATTCTATCGAGCTATTGAACTGAGTACTCAACTATTCTATTATATTGAAACATTCCAAGTAACAATTTTGGTTTTATAAGGGTTCTGTAGACCATGATTTAGACTTGTAGCATACTTTAAAACCACTATATAACTTGCAATCAGGGTTGCTTCCACTCACATGCTATAAAAAAAAATTATTTCCTGAATTTTGAAATCATTGGATGTTATAATGATATTTTGTACTTGTTAGATACAAGAAGAGGTTGAAAGGCAAGTGTTTGACTCATAAAATCTGTCAATTTCGCTACCAGAGTGTAACAATCAGCGATCTTATGATTCGTGAGCGTTCACTCAGAGTGAGCGCTCGCGAGTCGTAAAATCGCTGATTGTGACTATCTGAAAGCAAATTTGACAAGTTTCATGTGTCCAACACTTGCCTTTCAACCTCTTCTTGTCTAACAAGTACAAAATATGATTATAACATCTAATGATTTCAAAATTCAGAAAATCATGTTTTTATAGCAAGTGAGTGGAAGTAAGCCTGCTTGCAATGTTACTTGGGATATTTGATCGGTCAATTGATGCATCGAAAAAAAAAGTCTTCGATTTGTCTTGCCTCTTATGGAAAGAGCCCTAACTGAAACCTGGTTTAAGTACATTTGAAAATTTATTTAATTAAAAAAAGATAACAATATTTCATGAAAAAAAAAGTGTTATAAAAGAAAATAAAATAACATTCAGCGACAGGTAACAAATAAATTCTAAAACTTTCCTTCCCACCAACCATTAAAAAGAACTAATCACGCTTTACTGAACGGATTGAGTGGTAGACTTACTCTCCATAAGGTACTCGCGAGCACAGTGGATAACGTTGGGGGCATTGCTCTTGCAGTACACTATGTACTGCTCGTAGAAACCTTGATCTTGAAGGTTGTTCATGACGCTTTCGACCACTTCGCGTCCATCAATCAGCTGAACCTCACCGTCACCAACCAGTTCGTAGAGTGGAACATCTCGTGGGGCCATCTGGCTGGCGTAGGGAATCCGCTTGTGAACCTGGAAAAACGTTTCCGCTCCGAATCGTTTGTTGAGATCTTCGATGTCACATGGTCCATCGGTGGACATGTGAATTTTGGTGTACATCCGGCGTTGCCGGATGCGAGCCAGCAGTTGCTGAGCGCCTTGCAGCATGGAGTTTTCACTGGCTTCGATTAGGCTGACTATGCTGTCGTCCAGGTACAGGTAGATCGAGGGCGAGAGGTGTGCTTCGGAGATTTTCGTTCTGGAATGGGAGTTGAGAGCAGGCAGGTTTAGATGTTGCGAATGAAGAAGTCGAAGGAACATTTAAATGCTCTAAACGGGGGCATACTTCAATGACGTACACCACTCAGTAATGTTTTACTGGGTTTTTGAATTGCGGAAGTGTTCGGTAAAAGTTTAAAAATCTGTGGAAAATTCAAAAATGAGTAATTTTACGAACTTAGTTCTGGTAAATCCATTTCATGATAGAAAATAAAATGTAGGGGAAAGTGAGACAATTTCGCCAATGGGGCAAGATGGCCACCCGCCTAAAATCAGCTTATTGACCATATTTTACGAAAAAAATGCAGGCTTAATGCTTGAAGCCTACTTGAACTATCCATTTTATTTTAGTCTAAAAATTGTTTCTCTCGAATGCGAATAGCCGAAAAATGTTTAACTAGCTCAAAATGTCAAAAATGCTATAAGATTTTGTTAATCACAAAAAAAGGACTATCAGTAGTTTCTTATAGCTTATCGTTAATACTCCTTCAGCAGCTAATAAATGGTCAATGGTTTCTTATATGGCACGATGTTTTTTCTAGTTTTCAATAAACAATAAAAAATTTCCTTAAAAACATATTACTTAAGACCAATTGCTTTAGATAACCAGAATGAAGAAAAGTGTGATAGAGTCAGGGATCTAGAAGTTATCTTAGACTCAAAGCTTACTTTCATCGATTATTACAACACAATTATTAACAGAGCTAATAACATGCTTGGTTTCATAAACCGATTCTGATATAATTTTCATGATCCGTATACACACTTAGTTTTTTCTACCGAGCTCGGTTGTGCAAATCTCAGCAAAAAAAGTTTTACTGAGATTCCAGCAAACATTTCATTTGTTTGCTGAGATTCAGCTAAGCATTAACCGATACTCAGCAATCATGTCACTTTTGCTGAGATCTCAGTGGAACTTCTTTTGCCGAGATTTGCACAGCCGAGCTCGGTAGAAAAAACTAAGTGTGTACGATTAAAACATTGTACATTGCTTTTGTAAGGTCGATATTAGAATATTGCAGCATAGTTTGGTCTTCTTTTACAATCACACACGAAGAACGAATAGAGTCCATTCAAAAGTAGTTTATATTGTATGTACTCCGCAAGTATAATGATGGACACATACAATAAACACTGCGATAACATCGACTTTACAATGACAAACACCAAATTAAAGCAATATTTTAAATCCTTGCTTAGAGCCCAATAGCTCTCGATTGGACGTAACTCTGGACAATATGGCGGATTTGCGGTTTTTGGTACAATATTCACTTGATTTGCTTCGTACCACTCAATCACAGTTTTAGCATAATGGCATGATGCCAAATCGGGCCAGAACAAAGGGTTTTCTTTGTGTCTTTTGATGAAGGATAGCAATCGCTTCTGCAGGCACTCTTTCTGGTAAATCTCCTTGTTGATTGTGCTTGCCAAATAAGGTATTTTTTGGGAAATATCGACGCATTTTTCGTCCTTAAATACTCAGCTGAAGCATTGTTGGCCATAGCAGAATAGAAAGCCAACCCTGGCTTGAAATCCTCCAGGACATAAGTTTAATCGCCCATAACATCGCATGAAAACTTTGTCAAAAATTCGCAGTACAAACATCGGTGCTGCTCGTCCAATGTTTTTATCACTTCTCAGGAAACCGAGAAGTCAAACGTTCCAAAAATGATTTGAGCACACCGTGAACCAGCGTTGCCAGATATACCGATTCCCGAACTAGATACCGATATACAGATAAGGTTCCTAAAGATACCAATTTTTTAGGTTTTATCACAAACGAAGTGACAGACGGAGCGGCTCGAAAACTTTGGTGACTAACCTGCTATTGCAATTTTTCAGTGTACCACATGGTACACTACTACTGGATTGTACCACATGACAACACTACTACTGGATTGTACTAGCATTTTCACCAAATGTATTAGAATGTTTTGGTTCTTTTTCATTTTCAATCTCTTTCACTCTACTCAAAACTGAAATGCATAAAAAAAAGTGACAAAATGATACACTCTTTGCACACTGTCAAAGAATCATTGTACAAAAAATCAATTTTGTTCAAATCAAAACTAAAAAAAACTAACCCATCTGGTGGATGATGGCACAAGCTTTTAAGAAAATTATATTACAGCGAACAACAGTATTTTAATTGATTTCTTCGTCAGTTAGTCGTCTGTCACTTCATTTGTGGTTTTATCAAGGGGTAGGTCACTCCGCACACCAATCTTGGGTAATCTTTTTTGTCAGTGTGCCACAAGTGTGCCGCAGGTGTGCCAATTGCGCCGGTCATAGATCAAGCTGCGATTGTTTGTAAAATGCCCATCCCGGCAACCCGGTATTTCTGACACCTTGAATGTTTTGGTTTGAAATCGCAAGGATGAATCGGATTGAGGATGACGTGGGAAGTGGTGGGTGTGCGAAATGTTGGTGTTTTATGTTCATAGGATGATAAAAGTCCTGTGTTTTAGGGTTTTAGAATGCCCTTAAAGGCATACCAAAAACCTAGCCTATAGTGCTATGAAAAGCAACGATCTATCAGCGGCCGGAAAGAGATGGAACCCGTGGGGAACGTTGTTGAACACCGACTATAGAGGATGATGAATAGACTTCTGCAGTTTGTTTTGTGTGAGTTGTATCATTATTTGAATTAAAGGTGATAATGGGGACCGCCTCTTTCTCTTTAGCCTACTTCGGGTACATTTCGTATTTAGATCTATAAGTGAACTGCTGGTCTTAGTTCGTCTGGTATATTCAATTAGAGGATGGTCCTGAATATACAGTCAAACAGCACGTAATGTTGTGAACAACTTCAATGACAGTTATCAATCTGTTCTGGTGTTTCGATTGATGTGCCCATGCTGTGCCGAATCTAATTTCGGCACCCCTTGGGTTTTATACCGATTTATACCGATTTTTTTTTGAATAATCAAAATGAATATTGCCTGCCCGCGCTCGAATGTCGGAGAAAATTATTGCGAGAGACTTGTATCTTTTTGAATATCTCAATTTTGTTGAGCCTTTAAAATTCTAAAAAAAACTCATCTTCAAAAAAAGTCTCATGGATACTTTTTCGATTAATGTTTCAATTTCTTCACCGTTTTTTGGCTACTCATGAATCGATAAGCAGTCGATGGTTCTTTTTGGTAATTTCCCGGGGGAATTGGGAAATACTTTTTAAACATTTTTTAACTTCCTGGATTTTCTTCCAACTTTCCCCTGGAATTTTCTTCCACCATCGTACATTGTTTAACGATTCCTCTCGGAAACTTATTTCGACTTCCCTTGGAAGCTTCTTCAGCCTTCGCTCGAATGATTCTTCCATCTTCTCCCGCCAGTTTTTTCAACTTTCCCGGAACTTCAGGGATGCTTCCAGATTTTGATTGCGGAACTTTTAAGAAGTTCTGAAACTTCAGAATAGTCCAGACTTTTGAGTAAGTTTCGATACATCAAAGATTGTTTCAATAACTTCTGATAAAATTCTAAAACCCGGTCCAGCGAACTCCAGTGAACTTAAGGAAAATCATAAATATTTTGGATACTTCACAAGTCCAAAGAACTTATGGAAAATTTAATGGTTTCCAGGACAGTTCCATTAGTTTCAGGAGAATTGAGAGAACTTTAGGAAGCTCCGAGAACATCAGGACAGATCAATGAATTTCAAGGAAATTGGTGAAATTTTAAAGGAGTTCGGAAAAACTCAGGCTATTTCCGAAAACTTCAGCAATGTTCCGAGGGGCTCATTCAAATTTAAGAAACGTAAGTGAAGTTACACGAACATTAGCACATTGTGAGAACATTTTATGGGAACTTCCGTGCTTATAAATGGCAGTGTCGATAACTTTTAAAATTAAAAAAAAATCGGGAAGGTTAGAGATCTTCAATGCTGATGTTACAATAAATTCAAGAAAATTGTGAAAGCGCTTAAGAAATTTCGTAACTTTCAAGAAAGTCTTCAAAGTTGATTAGAGATATTACGGAAGTCTCATTATAATCAGGGAAGTTCCAAGTATTTCAAAGATGATCAGAGTACTCCAAAACAGCCCTATTAACTTTAAGAAAATTACAAGAACTTTTAAGGAATTCCGAGGAAATTTGTAATATTCCTAAGTACATTTCAGGAATGTTCTCAAAACTTCAGGGGCATTTCGGGGCCTTCAGGGATGTTTTATAACCATTTGGTAAATTTCCTGGATCATTAGAACATCCCCCATGAGCTCTTTCTTCCAGAATTATGTCCTTGCTTCTTTCGACTGTTCCGTAAGCGCTCTGGCTTTCGACTTTTTCCAGATTTTTTCCCAATCTACTTTAGGAAGTTTCTGCCAGCGTCTCCAGGAAGTTTCATCCGTCTTCTCCAGGAAGTTCAATTAAACTTCTCCGAGAAATTTCTTTCGTCTAGTTTTGGAATTTTGTCCAGTTAGGCAAAAGGGCTCTTGCCCGATGAACTTATGAGACGATCCGAGTCTTGCTAGTGCATCAGCTTTTTCATTTCCCTCAATCCCGCAATGACCAGGAACCCAATATAAGTTGACTTGGTTATGACAAGACAATGTTTGAAGTGATTGAACACACTCCCAGACAAGTTTAGATGTACATGTCGCCGACTTTAAAGCATTTAGGGCAGCTTGACTGTCGGACATGACCAGGCATAGAAAATCATTTACATTCATTTCATGCATTCATTTACATTCATTTGCCTCTAACTTTTTTCATCAACAGCATTCCACAAAATGATGTATAGAGTTTTAGTAGGTTTTGTTATTAGCTACAACTTTTGTCCAAATCTGTATCTCTTATACATCACGAATTAGAGCGGGCAGATCTCGTTACTGTTTTTCAGTGAATGTAAAATACATTCACTGAAAACCAGTAGTGGATTCTGTTTGCTCTGGTTCGTCATGCATAAGAGATACGGATTTGAGTTCTTAACAAAAGTTGTAGCGAATAACAAAACCTACACACTTAGATTTTTTTCACTGAGACGGGCACCACCGAGCAGCTCGGCATTTTATTTTGCTGGATCTCAGTGAAAAACTTGCCGAGATTCAGCTAACAAACGGGAATTTTGCCGAGATCTCAGCTAACAAACATATTTTTTGCTGAATTTCCAGCAAAATAAAATGCCGAGCTGCTCGGTGGTGCCCATCTCGGCTAAAAAATCTAAGTGTGTACAAAAGCTCTATACATTATTTTGCAGAATTCTGTTGATGAAAAAAGTTAGGGGCAAATGAATGTAAATGAATGTACGAAATGAATGCAAATGATTTTCCATGCCTGGACATGACGCATATATTTGAACTCTTATAGTTTCTACGCAAACATATAATGGAACACTCTAAAATTGCTTGGATTTCAGCTTGGAACACAGTTGGCCTTCTGCCCATAGGAACCGATATTTCTATCCCTGGGCCATTTACTCCTGCTCCCACTTGATTGTTCAATCTTGAACCATCTGTATAAAAAACAATCGATCCTGGACGAAGAACCGGGCCACCAAATTGCCATGAATTACGCCCAGGGTCAAATACTTGAAAAAGTCGATTGAAATTGTATCTTTTCTCCATCCAGTCTTCGTTGTTCCTTACTAGATAGTTGATACTAACAGTTTTTTAGAATCCTAAGATGTCCTCTAAAGTTTCACTGACCTTGTAATCCTTAGAGCACACTTTTCGGCTTCTAATTCTAACATTATAATACTATCATCAATATATTCAACACCTGGTGTAGTAAAAGCATAGAGGTAACTCTAAGACCAGAAATAAATTAAATTTCAATATAGAACCGTTCGATTTCGGCAACACTAAAATTTTGTTGCCAAAATCGAACATGTACTGTGCAGCTATGCTAGCTGCGAAACGCGGTTAAGAAATCACCATTCGGTTGACACTTACCCTCGCAATCTGAATCCGCACTCCTCCGCCTGCGTCAAAGCGTCAATCATCCTGCAAGCAGATACATTCTCAATTCACCGACTAAAGACTCTACTAAGCATCCAATACTTACAGCTTCTCCAACCCCAGTATGGCCGGATGCTGGTAACATTCGATGTGCAACTTGGTGCGAGCTTCGAACAGTGCCACTATCAATCGATAGTCACTGGCCCGATAGCCGATGTGTGTGGTACCGCTGCCGTCCCGTACCACCCGCGCATGGTCAAACAGTTGCACGAAATCCGTTCCAATTTGAACGGCGCTCCGGAGGTAGAACAAATCTCGCAGTAAATAGTCCCACTTGTCGACGTCGATCTTGTAGCGCTTGTTGTGAACGATCTCCGCCATGTACATTGTATCCGGCGTCAGAAGGGTGTCCAATGCGTCCTGATTGCCGGTAATGAGAGCGCAGATCAACTGCTCGGCGTAGTAGTGCTCGTACGCTTCCTGAGATAGTTGGATATCGTTGTTGGCAAATAACTGGCGGGCCATATCGCAGGATGATTGCTCGTGCTGTGGGAGAAAAAGTGGAATTTAGATCAAGTACAAATCAACATAGGAATTATGTGCAACGCTGTACCGTCCAATGCTTATCACTCCCGCTGTGTACAAAGTATTCCCACAGGTGCGAGAAGGGTCCATGGCCTATGTCGTGCAGTAGGGCTGCGAGCTAAAATTGTTAACATTTGCGTCAGAAGCAATTGGCTTTACGACAGTAGACGGTAAGAACTTACCACAACACATTTCCGATGGATGTGGCTTATCTGTACACCGGAGTTCCGTTCCAGTATTTTCAACAGCTTGTCAGCAGAATGGGAAACCCTGTGCGAGGCAAAATAATGCATTAGTCAGACCCATTGTTGTGCTGCTGGTCAAATCACTTACCCTAGGCAGTGCTCAAATCGGGTATGCGTCACCGAAGGAAACACTTTCGAGCTGGTCCCGAGTTGTTTGAGGTTTCGAAGGCGTTGGAATTCCTGAGTGTCCACAATTTCCTGCACGTACGACGGGTACGTCACATTTCCGTGAACGGCGTCACAGATGGTCCAACCGTTTACTACGCTTTCCATGGTGGCAATGATGATGCCGGTGAAAACGACGACGTATCGTTCACGTATTTTACTGAAATTGTTTAGAAAATTATGGTTGAAGGATTATTAGAGTCCGATTTCTTCACCTACACTTAGGCCTTAAACTAGGTTAAACTAAATGGCAAAACATGGTTTTAAATTTAAGCGGAGGTAAAGAAATCGACTAGGATTTGAATTTAAAGCGCTCCTGAATCAGTGATAAATTTAACTTTAACAATTCTATATTTAAGTTATTGCAATACTCTGAAGGAAATTGGGATCTAATCAAGACGAACAATTCAAAAGATCTGCTTTGATCGATTCTCTTCGTCGCCTCATTCTTTCGTTAATAACTCAGCTGTAAAAACATTCCCCGATGAATGTGCATAAGACCTTTTGAAATGTTTATCGAGATATATCTTACTAATGTCCGCCAAAAATTTTCAATTTGATGCTAACCGATTAAATCTGCTAGCATTTGCAGAGAGCATAGTTGCACTGGTTGAACTGCTTTGAATAATTTTCAACCAATGTTTTGAGAAACTGAAGTTTGCTTACTATCTGAAAGCATTTGTTCTTGTTACCCAAAAAGAAAGAAACTTTACACAAGTAGAAATCAACTTCACAAACTTAACAGCAGTATTTGAAACTTTTGGACATCTCCGTTGGTTAACAATTTTAAATTACTTTTTATGTATGATTTTCACATCTTGCAGCTTGAAGCTTGAGCATGTACAACTCATGTAATGTGTGCATTAGACTTGTACTGAGAAGTTTAAGAAAAAGGTAAGGCTTATATCGATTGTGGTCAAGACCTGCTTTTTTTCTCTTAAAGAAAAATGACATTATTAAGCCTTGACTAAAATATGCATTTCCATAAATTTAAAGCCATATTCTAAATATAATAATCGTAAAACAAACAACAAACAAAGGATCAATCTTAAAGCTATTCCGGACCTACACCATGCATGATTAAATCATCGAACATTACCATTCGCAGACGCCTGTTTCTGAGACATATCGGAGCTGAAAATATGGTGCTAATCGCCGTGACTTGCTGCTCCATGCTTCACGCTTATTCATACGTGATCCTGCGAACGTTATAGACAAAGTTCACAACTAACTATGCATATAGACGACGTCGTTTGTCGCACGTTTGTGACACTGACGTCACCACTAAGCCTTCGCGACGACGACGCACATACACGCATGGGGGGATCGGCGCTCTAGATAGGAGGAAAAAATGATAATGGGTATGTCTGTACAACAATGTTTGTATTCAACAAACAGAGCAGCTGCCCAGCTCAATCGCCATAGCAACCGTTGTTGGGTCGATTCAAACTGTCACTTCAATCTCATAACTGGATGAAGAGCTACTGGCCTTCGCATTCCTTATCCGAATCAAGAATCACTACAATCTAGCAGTAACACGTTTAACTTGCTTATCATTGTATTTATCTACATTAACCCTACTCGCTTTGTTATATATCAACTTACCGTTAGTTAATATAAACGTTCACTAATTGCTCCGATCGCGTTTCAAATCACCACCGAATAAAAAGAAGATTCAATAAGGAATCTTTTCCGGAAAATACATGAACAGAAGCACTAACGGCATCCAGGAAGAGCACTTCAGCACAAAATAAACTATATAGCTCTGAATCTCTTCCACTTCTACACTACATCAGCTCCTCTCAGCTCGCCTCGCCTCCTCTGTGTATAGGAAGCGTGCTTCAAGCTTTTTTTTTTCCAGTCCAGAAGAGAGAGATTGTTTATTGAGGTGTTCCAAGCAACCTGAGCGAATCTTGGTCCTAGATTCCCCTACCTATTTCCAATTAGAATCTTCCTCCTGCTGATTCCGCTGATCCAAGCAAAAAATGAAAACAAAATTCGACCACAATTAAAAAGGGCCTATCAGCCGTTGAAAACACAACTTTGTAAACCCTTTCCAAGCAAAGTGTAAGCCGCCCCCACAAACCAAGAGCATCATCATGTTTCCCACTACATAAAGATGGCATTGATTTGTAAGGGCGACCTTCAGTTTACGAGAAAAGTGCTTCCAAATTTTTGTTTTCAAAAGCTGATAGGTCCTTTTTAATTACCGGTCCAGTAGTGTGACGTTTTGCACGTTTGGCAGATAATGATGCAAAAATCGATGATCAAAACAAGACCTCAGTGGCCAAAGTCAGATGCTTGCACGGTGAGATATGTTCGATTCCTCGCAGAAAATTCACTTATCCACTTATATACTTTTTAATTTTGGTTTAAATCTCACGAGCCTAACAATACACAAGTTAGTAAACGACTGACTAGATTTGACTGATTGAGCAGTTGTATTTATACCCTTGCTTCGCATCCAGAAATGATATGTACCTTCACTTTCATACGTCTCGATGCTAAAAGAATGTTCTAGATAGATCCACAGAGAGCACACAGCCTGGACGCAGCTGATATGATTAAACGGCAATGGATCTATAAGCGTATCCTATTATCATAGAGGTAACTCTAAGACCACTGGGTCCCGAAGAAAATCATTATTATTTTTGGCTCACTCAGTACCAGAACAACGGTCCCAAGCAGTCCCAAACTATTTCACTCACCCCTGCATGTTCTGCATGAATCCACACACCCCTGATGTTATCTGTCAAACTTTCATAGCGAATCAAAACAAACATAGTGTAGTAATAGGATTTCATCTAGAATAGGGTACGTTAATCGTTTGCCTGGGACCAATAGGCTACTAAAGTGGTGAGCCAATTTAAAATCGTTAGTTTCGTATTGATTGTTGCTATTATAGTCGAAATTTTAGTACTACACTATGTTTGTTTTGATGCACTATGAAAGTTTGACAGATAAAATGAGGGGTTCGTAGATTTTCCTATGGTTTTGAGGGGTGCATCGATTAGTTTGGGACCGCAGATAATTGGCGTTGACGGCACCGTCGAAAAATTTGCTCTTTCAGCAAATATAGACAGTTTCTTATGGGAATTTTCGGTGGAGTGAAAGGATAGTACAAAGTTCGCCATGTTTCACGCACAGTCTGACGTATGCATATGGATTTTCTCATAGGAGTAAAGAGCTACAGAGTCGCCGTCAACGCCAATACCAGAGCTGAGCCAAAAAGTTGAGCACGTTTCTTCTGGTCTTAGAGTTACCTCTTTGGTAATAAGATGTTTCTAGGGTGTTATAATAATTATCGACAGAAAAAAATGTCATCAAGGTAGCCTTGTAACATGATCCAACACTCTGTAGTGCAAACATATCATAACATTAAATAGTTCCAGAATAATCCACATAGTTCTATAGACCAGTGGTCTCTACTGTGTTACCTGACTTATAACAAATATACGTTGTATACAAGTACTGCGAATACAACGTATAGTTCATCTAATTTTATATTGCAAATGCTATGCAAAATTAGACGAGTACAACGTAAGACTCGGGGTACTCGTATACAACGTATATTCGTTATAAGTCAGGCACCACAGTAGCCTTTTCTATGATCTAGAACTTTCAACGCAAACTACACAACAAAAAAAGAAATATCAATCAACGTAATTGAATACCAAACAAACAATTTTAGCTGCAGCTTAGCTTATACAGGCAAAAATTAGCTGCAAAAGGTAAATTTTGGCTGTATAAGCAAATCTGCAGCTAAAATTGTTTTTTGGGTAATGATTTCATGCTGACATAGAGGTAGCTCTAAGACTAGAAGGTCCCGAAATAACGTGCTTAACTTTTTGGTTCAGCTCTGGTACTCTCTTCGGTCCCAAGCTAATCGATTCACCCCTCGAAACATAGGAACAACCAATAACCCCTCATTTTATCTGTCAAACTTTCATAGCGAATCAAAACAAACATTGCGTAGTACTAGAATTTCAACTAGAATGTGATACGTTAACCATTTGCTTGGGACCAATAGGCTAGTCAGGCAGTGAGCCAATTTAAAATCGTTAGTTTCGTATTGATTGTTGCTAGTAGGTCCCGACGAAACGTGCTCACCTTTTTGGCTCAGCTCTGGTACTCTCTTCTGTCCCAAGCTAATCGATTCACCCCTCGAAACATAAGAAAATCCACAAACCTCTCATTTCATCTGTTAAACTTTCATAGCAAATCAAAACAAACATTGTGTAGTACTAGTATTTCGACTAGAATGGGGTACATTTATCGATTTGCTTGGGATCAATAGGCTAGTCAAGTAGTGAGCCAATTTAAAATCAATAGTTTCGTATTGATTGTTGTTTATACCCTCTCTAATCTAAATCTTTCTACTAGCATTGCGTTATATAAGTTTTGAGTGTAAGAGCAACCGTAACGGTACGCTGCTAAACTCATTTTATCAGTTCTAATCATAGCGCAGCTACCGTATCGGGGGTTGCCATACGAGTAACTAAAATAGCCATTGGCTTCTTGGTGAGAAGCGCGTTACCAAATTTAGCAGTGCGGGAGAAAGGTTGCTATTCATAGAAATGTCAAAATACTCACTACCGGTACGGACTACGGCGAGTAAATTGATAACCGCGATAGCAGCGACCGGTGTGGAGAAGAGTGAACTAAACTAAAATGAGAGCGCTGTGCGCTGTTTAAATAGTCGCGCAAATGACAACGACCGGTTGCTCTAAGTGATCTCTTTTTGACCGATGTGGCCGAACAGTAATAACCCAAAGGGCTAACGTGTCGCACCACCGCACACAAAAGAATAATATCAACAACAATATACTTCACCGCCAAAAATCAATTTTGAAATCGGCGAGCCACGATTCTGCAAGTTTCGTATTTTTCATTCCATAAATCTCTGCAAAATGCCAGAATCTCGAGTAAATGAGGGTGCATCCGGATCGGGCACTTCCAAGGACACCGCATCCAACAAAAAGAAAAACTTACCCTGGTGAGTAACGGCCCCAAATTGCGCTGAATACCGAACATGTTTTAAGGTTCCTTCAATTGCAGGATCGAGAAGTACCGCCCCCAAAAGTTTGAGGAAATCGTCGGCAATGAAGACACCGTGAGTCGATTGGGAGTTTTTGCCACGCAGGGGAATGCACCGAATATTATCATTGCTGTGAGTACAACAAACATAAAAATGCTTTAGTGATAAAACTGATCGGATCCAATATCGTTTACAGGGACCACCCGGTGTGGGTAAAACCACGACGATTCTCTGTCTGGCACGGATCCTTTTGGGGGAAAACTTTCGGGAAGCGGTATTGGAGTTGAACGCATCCAACGAGCGTGGTATCGATGTGGTTCGGAACAAGATTAAAATGTTTGCCCAGCAAAAGGTGACACTGCCCCGGGGACGGCACAAGATCGTTATTCTGGATGAGGCCGACAGTATGACCGAAGGCGCCCAACAGGCACTGAGAAGAACTATGGAAATTTATAGCAACACGACTCGTTTCGCATTGGCCTGCAATACGAGTGAGAAGATCATCGAACCCATCCAGTCCCGGTGTGCGATGTTGCGATTCTCGAAGCTTTCGGATGCGCAGGTTTTGGCCAAGTTGATTGAGGTCTGTCAGAAGGAGGGATTGAACTACGACGAGGATGGTTTGGAAGCGATTGTTTTTACGGCCCAGGGTGACATGCGACAGGCATTGAACAATTTGCAGTCGACGGCAAATGGATTCGGGCACATTAGCGGGGCGAACGTGTTCAAAGTTTGTGACGAGCCTCACCCAATGCTGGTGCAGGATATGTTGGAGCATTGCATCAAGGGAGATATCCACAAAGCGTACAAGATTATGGCCAAACTGTGGCGCCTGGGGTACGCCGCGGAAGACATCATCGGAAATGTCTTCCGAGTTTGCAAGCGGATGAACATGAACGAAAAGCTTAAGTTGTGCTTCATCCGGGATATTGGAGAAACGCACATGAAAATCGTAGACGGACTGAACTCGTTGCTTCAGATGTCCGGGATGCTGGCGAAGCTTTGTGAGATATCTTATGATTACTCATAGGATTGTTCATAATTTTTGGTAATGAATAATATTTAAGTTTTCTGAATATTTGCCGAGTAGTTATTAGGTTCCGAAAGCCGTTTTTTTTTTGCACTTCAATTCCAGTTTATTGTTAGCTGTAAAAAAAGATAGTTACAATCTCTCTAAATGCTACTTTTTGACTGCATGGTTTCAGTTGGTCTTGATTTTTGTTTCACTAAAAAGTTTGATCACTATCAAATAAGTTGTTGAACTTTCAAAATTCCAAATGATTGTGTCATTGGCAAATTTGGTTTTGCTTCTCTTGAAATCCACGAGAAGCCTATAGTTTACCTTAGAATCTACAAAGCCTACAAAAATAATACGTTTTCAGGTTTGAAACCCTCGATTAGTTTCGTTCACGTTGATCATCACTTTCCTCGTGGTACATAATATACACCTACGTAATACCGTAAAAAGCTGTCCATAGTTCAAAAAAGTGAACCGCACATCGCACACAAATGAACAACGATCGACAAACGACGCACATTCACCGGCCGGGGTAAATCCACCATGTCCTATTACGGAGCATTGATCAGAGCAAGTTTCTCGTAGATGCTGGTCAATTCGTTGTACAACTGTTTCCTCAGCTCTTCAGAGGTACCTAATGGTCGAGCACGTGACACGTCCCGGTTCTGCGTTGGATTCGCACAGCGCTCCAACAACATGTGCAATCGATCCGGCGATTTTTGCGTTATCAGAATGCCAGGGTAACGCTTTGTCCCAAGGAAGACCTTCAAATTCGATAAAAACAATTAGGTAGACCACCCATAAACCTAAATTCACAATAAAATCTTACCTTATCACAAACGATCTGCACGTTGTTGTTCATCACCGTCGACTCGCAGCGATTCTTCTCCACGTTGCACTCCGACTTGCAGTTCATGAAATAGCAGTGCTCATCATGCGTGCAGTAGCTACCACTCGAAATCTTTCTATTGATAGTATAATCGGTAAAGACAAACCTCAGATCGTCATACTTCAGCCGATTGTTGTTGATCCCGAACCGAGTTAAATCCACGTGGCACATTTGAATTCCATGCTGGTCCAGCTCGTCCATGTAATCCAGAATCAGCACAGCCATCTTAATGTGGTACCGCCAGCGGTCCAACGTTATATGGCTTCCAAAATAATACCGACTGTCATCGAAATCCAATGCATTTAGCTTTTCCGAGGTAAACATCTCGGCGCAGTTCCCCTCCACGTACGGAAACAGATCGTTCTCGTTGAACATTACCGCCATTACAAACTCGTGATTCTGAATCAGATTCCAGCTATCCCGCATGCTGTGGTGGAACATCGGAATGTTCTCCTTGTGGGTCAATCGCATCAGCGTGCGGATCTTCTCGTAGGGAATCTCCATGTTGTACTTGTTCGATATGTACCGCTTGACGATGTTCTCGTACTCGATCTCAGTTGGGTAATGTTCCTTGTGATAGTAGCTGTCCACCCAGAAAAGCTTTTCGTAGTTCTCGTTGGGTACTGCTTGCTGTAAATGAAAACCATCCAAATCAGTAATCTATCAAACCACCACCACCAATATAAAAAAAAACTCACAATCACAGCCAGTGGGGTGTCCTGCCGCTTGAGCTGGAACCGATTCGGGTGATGTATCTCGAGGCTTGGCTGTGGACATCGCAGATCCCAGAATACGCCACTTCGGCTGCAAAACTCCGGGCACATGCTGCCGGAGAGACCCTGCCTCTGGCACTGTAAATAAGATGGAAAAATGCAGTCATTAAGCAGGATTCTATAACATTTCGCTGTGAGCCATTCCGCGGTTTGTTACATTTCGTGGTACGTGATTCACCGTGTCATCGATTTCAAGTATGTATTGTCATCTGTACATTACCGTTTAGCGTGTTTCCTCGGTTTCCTCTGTTTCAAATTAAGATCTTTTTTACTTCTTGTTCCTTTTTTTCTTATCCTAGCTCGTCAGTTTTCGTGTAACGGCAACTGCTAAGGTTACTGTAAATAGCGAAGTGCGTTCGAGGTACCCAGTGGGCCTAACAGCACCGACGAACCGACGTGACAGCTCATAGAAGCCACATTCAAATTCTTGCCCAAGACGCCATATTTAAAATACGTTACTCATCCGATCGCGTCATATCGTAAGCAAGGACATCTGATCGCCCGTTTGATAGATTGAACCGCTCATTTGACAAATCGAATAGCGGACAAATCAAGACCAATAATTGAAATGGCCTTAACTCCATTTTGTAAACAAACCTTGTAAGGCCATTTTCTCGCGAACCGAAACCTTCATTCGCAAACCTAAACCACAATCGAGTAGAGGAGAATTTCCCTTACCTGTTCATTATGTTGGTTTGCCTTTGCGGACTTCGGTTCGCGTTAAAATGGTCTTACAAGGTTTGTTTTCAAAATGGAGTTAAGGCCATTTCAATTGTTGGTCTTTAAATTAAATGCTCCAGTGGCATGTCGGTTCATCGGTGCTAACAGGTCCATTGCCTTTGAGTTCTAGCTAAAACTCTTTTATGGTGGTAATTTCCTACCGGTATTATCCTCGGATTAAATCCCGATCAAGAATGTCCGGCTGCTGTGATGTCAACATCAGAGTTAATTAACACGTCTGTAAGCAATCATTTTGCATTTTGAATTAAAAGTTAATGCGAGTTGAAGCATACCGCTATTAAAGTTCTTCCCAATACTCTTGCCAGTTTTCTCTGAACTACCTCTCGAATTCATTCTGAAATCTTCTCCAAATTCCTGTCGGATTTTAATAAAAATTCTATTAAAAATTATTCTAAGTGATTTATCCTGAAAATCTAGTTCAGTCTAACGGTCTCGACATTTTTTCGACGAAAAACTGTTTTGTTATACCTACTGTGCAAAATTTATAAGGTAATAAAGTTAGACGAGCATGTCATAAATAATTGAAGAACCTATCAACATTTCAAAATATGTGTTATCGAATAGGGACGAAAAATGTGTTTAAAACTTATTTTCGAATGTTCGATATAGTTCTTAGAATTATACCAAGATACTATTGGATTGCCCAATCGATTCCATTGTTACCGTTCTGAAACTTTACCTATTCTGTACATGCATAAACTTTAAAACAATCATAAATATTTCAATTATACATTCCAACACGTTCCGAGTTACGTTTCCTCTTCTGTTTTATCCCACGATACGACCAACCGTAAATATACCAAACATACCGGCTGCTCATAAACTAAACAACACACCGTATCCGGAGTTCATTTCAAGGATAACAACCTCCAACCGTGCTAATCGTTCCAGAGAGAAAGTGAGAAAAAAACACCTCCCACAGAGAAAAAGAAAGAGAGAGAGAGAGGGAGCAATTACCATCTCCCATAGTCCACCCACCTCAACCCACAATATTCACCTTCCTGAAAATGAAAAACCAATTCGTTGCAGTTCCATGATACTCACAAATTTGGTCACCTTCCACTCGACTCCGGTGTCGAAGCAATAGTAGGACGACGTGATACTGCAATAGACCAGCACAATGACCACCGCCAGGGCAATCGCTGAAATCACATAGTAACGCCTCCGCGGGGAAAACCGGAGCTTTCGGGCGAGATTTTTCCACTCCTTTTTTGTCAGGAACATCATCACTCCGTCGCTTGCTGGGAGGGCGTGCGGGTGTGTATGTGCATAAAAAACCAGACTTCAATCCTTCACAGTAAGTTGTTGCTTCAAAAGGCTATTTTTTTCGTTAACCAAACAGTAATTCGGCACCCGGATTCACACACTTGGCATCTGCTTCCGCTGCTACTTGCGAACTCAATGCGATTGAACTTTATCCTTTCAGACTGGCAGGGTTTAAATTATTTAGGGAATTGTCCTCCAAACTACAAATGACACCTCCTACTACCGATCCGATATGCGTGCTCTCGATTTTTCCGCTTTGTCGTTCTGCTCGGACGCACTTGGGTCATGAAGGCAAGGATACTAGAGGTTCATGACGCCTTCTATAGTTCAGGAAGGATGTAGGGAGCAAAGGAAGGATGAGGTATGCGCTGAAGCTACATCAGCTACATGGACTGAAAAACATGGTTTTCTCACGCTCTCTCTCTCTCTCTCGGTTTTCAACTGTTAACTATGGAGAAATGAACGCTTTCCGATGGTTTACACAAATGTTGGGTTTTCTGTATGAGCGAGAGTAGATTTGGGGTGGGGTGTTCACGAGAATCCTTTTGAACGGAGTCGGTTCTGGGAAATGCGTTGTAGACTGTCTTCGTGCGGATGCAAAGAAAATTATCCCACTGGTGGAACTTGTTGTTGTACCGTGTGGGGTACCCGTTCACCGCTTGACCTCTATTCACCACTCATTTTTTTCAGAATTAGCTGAAAAAGTTCACAACGTGCTAAAAATTATTACACTTATTACTGTCGAAAAATATAACTTTTGTTTATATTAACATGAGCAGTGAATGGAGACTCAACGTCAATCGAGGGTTCCGTTTAGCGCCCACTTAAAATAGTAATTACGACCAAAATTTCATATTAAGCTACAACACATCTGTGCGGATTTGCAAGCGCTAGTATACTAGCCAACTAGCACGAGTTTCAGTTGCTCCTGAAAATCATGCTGGTAGACGCTGATGCCCTGCGTGCTATATACAAGTTGTCTAGAACATCTCTTACCGTAAAACATATTGAATTATATTTACTTTTGCCTAAACGGGTGGGCGTTGGCCAGATTTGGATTTTTCAGATATAATCCTAAATATGACCTAGATTATTTAAAACTCTAGTAACCTTGTCCTTAACCAACACTCAAAGGGGTAAAATATCAAATTTTAGATGAATTTGAAAGAAAAAGAACTTGGAGTGTAGAGCGCACTGCCCCTCTGGAAGATTCTGAAGCCTGGCCAAGTGAGTTGGGTATGGGTTTATTTGATTGAACGTCATTTCCAATTAATATATTGATACATTCAAACCATTGGCATTTGGTATTTGAGATAAGACAGGTCCGCTTAGGGGGAGCGTAACCCATGTTATGGTTTCCATTTATTAAATAGTTCAGATGGTCTAGAAATGACAGGTTCATAGTGAGAGAATGTACCATATGATGCCCATTCACTGACCAAAATCAGATTCACATCGTCAGGCCCTGCCCAAGAATAAGGGTATTGACGATGATTTGTCAAATTTTATTTTGCATTTGCATATAATTGTAATTTTATGTTTGCTTTGTAATTATAAGATAAATAGTTTACCTCAATTAAAATATTGAGTTGTATAAACTTGACGAATCATACATCTAAAACGCTATCCAGACTGGAGAGTTATAACAACAATCAATACGAAACTAACGATTTTAAATTGGCTCACTGCTTGACTAGCCTATTGGTCCCAAGCAAACGATTAACGTACCCTATTCTATTCGAAATACTACTAGTACTACACAATGTTTGTTTTGATTCGCTATGAAAGTTTGACAGATAAAATGAGGGGTTATTGGTTTTTCCTATGTTTCGAGGGGTGATTCGACAAGCTTGGGACCGAAGATAGTACCAGAGGTGAGCCAAAAAGTTGAGCACGTTTCTTCGGGACCTACTTGTCTTAGACTTACCTCTATGGTTATAACATGTTATAACGGTTGTCAAATAATTGCAACACAGAACCCACCATGAAGATAGCGCTATAACATGTTATAACTCTGTAGTCTGAACGTACTATAACATAGTAGTAGTTACAGTGTCGTATGATCTAACAACCACTGCCTGCAACTAATGTTGGAGGGGCCGGCAGGGCTGATTACGGATCAAAACTAACATAACTCTACTGGGTGTTTACTACCTGGAAACCCGGGAATTTACAGGAAATTTTATTTTTTCTGGAAAAACCTGGAATATTCAGGGAATTTTGGTTCCACTCAGGGAATTTCCCAATTATCACTTCATCCGTAATTCAAACGAAGTTTTTCGTTCAGTTTCTCGAAACGTTTCTTAAGGACATTGAACTTGACAAGCATCTGACAGCTAAGACAAAGTGTGCGAACGAGACAAGTTCATTCAGAGAGTCTTGTCACGCTCGCTCTTCGCTGATTTGTATGTGGAGGATCAAAATCGTCGTAAAAAGGAAACAGCCGAAAAAGAGAGACTGGCAACCGTCATGTATTGTATAAGAATAAGCATGCCAGACAGCAGGTCTGAAAGCCTACTCGGAATTTTTTGAGCTTCAGAGAGGGTCGGAGATCTACTGAGAAATTTGTTGAGCTTCAGGGTAGTTCGTAGATCTTGAGAACAGAACTACAAACAAATTAAAAGTTATTAACAGAAATTCATAAAAACAAAATCACAAGAGAGGTCGTAGATCTTCAGATAAATGTTTAAAGGTATTTTTCAAAACTTCAAGCAAGCAAAAATAATTTCAAATCAATTTGTAAAACTATAAGCGAAATTTTGCAAATCTTCAGGGAAATTCGCATAACTTCAGACAAGTCCACGAATCTACAGTGAAATATAAAGTATTTCACAGAAGTTTGGAGATCCTCGAAACATTCAACATCAGAAAAGTTCGTAGATCTTCAGAACAAAGCTACAGAACTTTGAAAAAAATTAAAGGACTTCTAAAAAAATCACAAGAATCTCAGAAATGTTAATGGATCTTTAGTAAAAATTGCAGAACTTCAGGGAAGTTCGGCGATTTAAAAAAATATTTACACGATTTCAGGAAAATTTGTAGATCTTGTCAGAGACATTTAAAAATTCAAAGAAGCTCAAATATTTTCAGATAAATTTTGACAACATTAGGTAATCTTCAAGGAAATTTTCAAATCTTCAGGGTAACCCGAGTGGAATTTACAAAACATCAGAGAAGTTTGCAGATCTACTGAGAAATTTATTGAGCCTCAAGTTTTTTTTATTTGCAGGAATTTGACAGAAAGTTTCACACATATGTGAGATCTTCAGAAAAATTCGATAAATGTGAAAAAAGCACCTCAATTCCAAAAACAAATCGCAGCGAAGTACAAAAGTACAATATTTTGCAGAACTCCACGGAAGTCGGAAATAGATAGATCTAAAGAACTTCAGAGAAGTCCGTAGATCCTAAGAGAAGTCCGTAGATCTTAAGAGAAGTATGTAGAACGTCAGAAAGTTCGTACGTTTTTAGAAAAAATTGCAAAACTTCAGCAAAACTCACAGATCTTCGGGAAAGTTCGCCGATCTTTAGATCAAGAATCCACAAAGAAATTTAAAGAACTTTAGAACAGTTCGGAGATCTACTGTGAAATTTATTGAACTTCAGGGCAGTTCGTAGATCTTTAGAGCAGAAATACAGTACTTCAGAAAATTTTACAAAATTTGAAATAAATTTTAGGAACTTCAGAAAAGTTCAGAGGATAGATCGTAAATCTACTGAAAAATTAGCAGATGTTTAAATAAATTTTCAGAATTTTACTGCGGTTCTTGGATTTTGAAAGACATTTACAGAACTTCAGGTAAGTTCGCTGATCTTTAGAAATATTTGCACAGCTTCAGAAAAAATAGAAAAACTTCAGAATACTTCCCAAAACTTCCGGAAAGCTCAAAAATTTCTAGATAATCTTTTAATTCTTAAGAAAATTGTATAGATGTTCAGAGATATTTGCAGATATTCATTGAATCATGAAAGTCTGCAGAGAAAAATACAGAACTTTCGAGAAGTTTATAGATTATTAGAAATTTTGTGAACATCAGAGATAATTGTTGATCTTCAAGGATCTTAAATCTTCAGGGATTCAGGAACTTTGCAGATTTTTAGGAAAATTTGCAGAACTTCTGAAGAACACACAGAACTTCAAAGAAATCTGTAGAACTACCGAGACATTCGCAGATTGTCAGGAAATCGGATTGGGATCTTTAAAGAAATTTTATCGGAGAACAGAAACAAAACTTCAGGGACGTCAGAAGGTCCTTGCAGAATTGAGTTGTTAACAGACATTGTCAGAACTCAAGGAATCATGTATATCTAGTGAGAACTTTTCCCACTAGCTTGTCTAAATTTGGTATCGACATCCTGGCGAAGTTTTGAAATCCATTTTCATTTTCATATCGCAGCTTAGATCATCAACAAGATGAGCCAGATCCCTGCCGGTGTTCCTCCTGAGCAACCATTTCCTACTCCACAAAGTTCACCTTCTCTTTCTCATTTTATTTAAAATAATAAAAGCAAATACGTCTGCCGAAACTAGAGCAATTTTCCGGTAATTCATCATGGAAGTATTTACTTTTGATTCCTGATACAGTTTTGTTTTGAAATCTAAATTGACAGTTCTTTCGACATGTGCAAGCAGTGTGAACACCAGCAAACAGGGGGGTTCGACAAAGTGTGTCGAAAGTAAATTCGAGCAGATTTTTCATTATGGCGGCGGTCAAAATCAGACCAAGAAATCAGATAGTCTAAACGCTCTTAAGGACATGTGAAACCATGATTTATTCTGTCTTGATCTTCCAAACAGAGTTGGACTCAAACATATTATGAAAATTATATTTCGTTTTTGAAAGCATATTGTTATCAAATTTTGATATATCGTTTTATCGAAATAGTATAGACAGGTTTATTACTTGTATTTATATTCTTGAATTAAAAAAATACTACACAAATACCAAAAAAGAAGGTAATATTGATTGACGTAATGCATGCTACTGTATGAATAACTAATGTGATTGCAAAAACCAAATAAAATATTACACCCATGGATATAATTTCTTTTCGCAAATTATGTGTAGGATAAATGAAATAGTGGAGGTACTTTAGTGCAATGTGTTCCTATGGTGGCTTATAGAGTCTCCCTAACCCGCTATAAAAGTACATTGTACTAACGTACCTCCACTATTGGTGCATTTACTAAACATAAATTGTACAAATTAATATTAAACAACCTATGTGCATCTGTTCTGCTGTAATATTCAATAACTTTTTTGCTATGCCG